TTTTATGTGTCTTGGTGTTGTCCTCTTTGGGTCCCTTCTGTTGGGATTTCTGTGTGCCTCCATAGTCTGAGCAACTATTTCCTCCCCCAGTTTGGGGAAGTTCTCAGCAATTATTTCTTCAAAGACACTTTCTATCCCTTTTTATCTCTCTTCTTCTGGTACCCCTATAATGCGGATATTGTTCCTTTTGGATTAGTCACACAGTTCTCTGAATATTGTTTCATTCCTGGAGATTCTTTTATCTCTCTCTGCATCAGCTTCTATGCGTTCCTGTTCTCTGTTTTCTATTCCATTAATGTCCTCTTGCATCTCATTCATTCTGTTTATAAATCCTTCCAGAGTTTGTTTCACTTCTGTAATCTCCCTCCAGACTTCATCCCTCAGCTCTTGCATATTTCTCTGCAGCTCTGTCAGCATGTTTATGATTTTTATTTTGAATTCTTTTTCAGGGAGACTGGTTAGGTCTTTCTCTGCAGATCCTCAGGTGTTGTCTGAACTGTCTTGGACTGGACTAAATTTTTTTGCCTTTTCATGGTGGTAGCGGTGCCTGTAGGCAGGTTTCGGGTATGTCAGCTGGGAGAAGAAAGTCCTTTCCTGCTTGCTGGATGCCTTGCCCTTCTCCACTGCCTGTGTCAGTTACCTGCACTCCTGGAGCAGCCACTGGGTTAGTCCCCTAAGCTGCTGTGGGCGGGGACTCTGTCAGAGTAGTGCGGAGCTCTTCCGGGAGTGGCAGGCACGCCAGGTGCGCTCCTCTGTGATAGCGCTCCTGCCAGGCAGCTGTGTTCCAGCAGTGGCCTTTGGGTCTGGCCCAGGCGGCTGTGTGTTGGGCTGGGATTCCGGTCGGATGCTGGGAGAGCGCCTGCTCCCTCTGGCTCCGCTGCAGGTACCTGCAGGGCTCTCCTGTGTCGGCCTCCACTGGGCTAGTCTGGCTCCACTGCCGCCAGTGCACATAAGCCACACCTCGGCTGTTCCGTTGCTGCCACTGCAGGCTCACACAAGCCTCTCCTGGTCCCCTCTGGCACCGTTGGCGCACGCGATCTCCTGGTCCCTTCTGGTGCCGCCGCCCCCGGCACATGGAGCCACTCTCCCGCTACTGCTTTTCCATTTCTCTAATATCCAGCACCCTGTGCACCTTGTGTCTATGCTCCGCGTGTGGATTTCTAGAGCTGGTTGTTTAGCAGTCCTGGGCTTTCACTCCCTCCCCATTCCGACTCCTTTCTTCCTGCTGGATTCTGGGGTGGGGGGTGCATTCGGGTTTCGGCTGGCCGTGGCTCTTATCTTACCCCCTTCATGTGATGTTGAGTTCTCACAGATGTAGATGTATCCTGGCTGTTGTACTGCATCCACTGGTGTCTCTTTTAGGAATAGTTGTATTTGTTGTATTTTCATAAATATGTATGTTTTGGGGAGGAGATTTCCTCTGAACTGCTCATGCCGCCATCTTCCCATGATCCTCCTGCACGTCCTCTTCTTTAAAATAGAATGAATGTTCCTCATTATTGGATGGCCCATTTCCTCATATTTAGGTTCTGGTTATGCATTTCCAGCAGAATCCTGAGTAAGTAATGTGTCCTTGGGACCCATTCATCTTCCCTTCATGTTCATTTGGATTACCCAATCAGATGTTGTCCAATTTCTCCACTGTGTAGTTAATATTTTCCCCTGGTGCCAGCAGTTAGCAAAAATACTCCCCCTGATTATGGGCATATCCATGCGGTGAGACAATCATAAGACCATACATAGATCCTATTTTTCATCTGGCATTCTCCCTAAATGTAGCCTGTGTTGATTGTTGCTTGCACCAACCTTTGATGGTGTAGAAAGGCGATTTCCCTTCCCTCAGTTCTAGCGTTCCCTGCATTCCCTTTCCAAGGCAGCACCTGGTGTAATCCTTTAAGCACAAGCCCCCCATCTCTCTCACACTTCTTTCTTATTTTGATTAGAATCTTGGAGTCCTACTTTTGAAAACAGTTCTCAAATACATTACTGTGCTCAGTTATTTTGGTGTCCAACCTGTCCAGATCTAGCCAGGTAGCACCTTTGTGCTGGCATGTTCTTATAAATACCCCCCATTCTTTTGAGCAGTTAGATAGATGTTCTGTGAAAATCTTTTCTACTCTAGCCCTGGAAATTGCAATTTCATCAGGAGCCTAGGTTGTTTTTCTTTAGGGAATAGTACAAGCTTTGAGTGCTAAGTGTGCTCATTATTCCTGGGATGTCTCTGCTTAAGGCCCTTCAGTTGACAGTCAGGGAAGTAGGGGTGTGCACATGCATATACCTAAATACACACTCCCCCATTCCCTTTCTTGCTTTCCCCTATTCTAGAGTAGGGAACTTTTTAAAATGGCTTAACTTTAATGGGAGATGGTAAACCATTTCCATTAAACTTGAGTGTAATAACTAAACTTTTCTTTAGGGGAATCTCACTTCCCTGTAGTTCTCAGGTGCCATGGAATATGCCAGAGCAAAAAATAAACAGTGTGTCCTCTACATACAATGTGGATGTAATTATGGTGCTCTTGTACTTGATTTACCCTAAAACTTGGGTTTTGAAATCCTATCTCCTTTTAAGACATTTTCCCAGAACATTTTCTTCCCTATGGTTCCAAAATCTAGGCATGTCTGGAAATGTCTTGATAATAGCAGTGAGCGATTAAAAGCTCTGCTCATTTGTCTTGGCTCGTATCTGTTCAGAATTAATGCTTTAACTGTGAGGGACAGAGCTTCTCTGTACAAAAACTTTGCAAATGGCATGCAGATAACACATGGGCGTTGTCATGGGTTTTTTCAAAGTAACCTCCCTGCTGCCCTAAAATTCTTGCCTTTTTTTTCAACAGCTAATTTAAACTTATAAGGAAAAGAACATACCCAAACATTCTCAGTTGAAATGTGAAGTTATTATATAGGCTAGATTTAGGGGTTCTCACAGGTGAGGGTATTAAAGAAAAACCACAAAGCTTCAAAATGATGCCAGCTTAGACCTGTTCTTAAGATTGGTACCTGTGTTGTCAGATCGTTAAAAATGTAAGCTTGGATGTATGATATTTTAAGTACAATAATGCTGAGATTAATGGGTCTTAACCTTTTGCCTTTGGTTCAAGTTCTTCCTAAGTTTTGTGGCTAAACTAATTAGACTCCATTGAATAAGCATAGTACAAATGATGGTGTGGGCAGGCATCATGGGAAACAGTGCTGAGTTCTGGTCTGTGTGCAGGCCAAGAGAAAGGAGGCAAGCTTGACTTGACATTGGGGCAGACCTTCTCAGCCTAGTGTATCCAAGGTATCATTAACAACACATAACTATACCATTTTTTGCAAGTTTTTACTTTTTAATGTGACTGCTTGCATCTTATTTCTTTTGGACAGTGCTTTACAGACATGGTGCAGGAGGTATGGGCTTCTGAGAAGCCCGGAGCCCCAACTTGAGCTCTGGCGGGGGGGTTTGGCCAGAGGCATAAGGAGGAGGGCTGCAGGGTGGAGAGCCTAAATCCACAGGGTTATGGGCACACTGGAGGGAGTGAGTGGCTGCTTTCAGTCTTTCATAATTTCTGCTAAGGCATTAAATCCTGAATTCTGGGTGGCAGTAGGAAAAGAAAGGATGGCTTATCCTACAGATCACATCCACAGAAAAGCTGTTTTAAACAAGAGTAGCAATTTTCAAAATTTAAAAATAATGAACACCCCCCCCACCCCCCTACACACACACACATACACACAACCCAAAACCCTTGCGTTGGTGCAAGTACGTGTGCCTCAACTCCAGCCATCTTGCCACAAGCATTGGTACCTGGACATTAAGGGCAAGGCTGCTTGTTAGGAGATGATCCAAGTAATCAGTAGCAGTAACCGATGTCCACATTTTGACATGCGGTGATTGGGTGGTGGAGCTAATTTAAAGGCAATAGCAAGGACTTCTCAACAGCATAGTGCAAATGATGGTGTGGGCAGGCATCCTGGGATACAGTGCTGAGTTCTGGTCTGTGCAGGGTGAGAGGAAGGAGGCGAGCTTGACTTGACATTGGGGCAGACCTACTCAGCCTAGTGTATCCAAAGTATCATTACAACACATCACTATTACGGTTTTTGCAAGTTTTTAGTTTTTGTCTGTAAATTTCTGGTGTTGGTCCCAGTTGAAGTCACAATAAAAATGTGAGAAAGTGAGATGCCTCAAAGCCTTGAGGTCCTTTATTTGTAAAAATGATGTTGGAATGAAAATTGTTCAATTACTGATAAACTTTTTTTTTTTATAGAACTAATCAATTTCAAACGAAAGAGAGTGGCAGCATTTAGAAAGAATCTAATTGAAATGTCTGAACTGGAAATCAAGCATGCCAGGGTAAGTGTATTCTTCAGATTAAGCCAACAACTCTTTAGGGTTTTTTCAAGTTACTTCTCAGTTCGCACTGTCACTGGACAGGTGGGGTTGGTTTGTGGTCTTAGTCCCCTGTGCTGTTCGTGCAATCTCATCTGTAACTAATTTTTAGCGACATTTTATTTTGTCTTTCCAAGACCATCAGCTTCAAAGAAAACTCATTTATGCAACATTCAGGTCAACTCCAGCAAACCAAATTGGCAGGACTGGCTTGGGGTGGGCAACAGTCCCAGATCCAGTGAAGGAGATTAGCTGCCTAGTATGAAATGGGGTGAGGGGCAAAGGTTGTGGTTCAGTGTCTTCACTGAAGAAAGTCACCAATTCTGGCTGTTCCAGTTTTCTTGTTAAAAGCTGAGGTGATGGGTTTGAGGACACCTTGGCCTCCAGGTTCATTTTATTATCTGCCTTGACTTTGCTTTTCTCCAGAACAACGTCTCCCTGCTGCAGAGCTGCATTGACTTGTTTAAGAGCAACTGATCAGCCTGTTCTCTCAATGAAGGACATGATGGGAAAGCCAGTGTACTTGCACTTAAATCATTACCACAGAAGACTTATTACCTTTGACTTCAGTTTAAGATGATGTGAATAAATAATTTTGATTTCTAAAAATCTTAACACTTAACCATGTTGGTTTAAAAATATTTCTATTGCATGCTACTTGGACATAACTAATCTTTTCCTTATGTATTTAATACTTCAAAGTGGGTAGAATCTTACATACTGGGTTCTCCTGTAACTTGGACTTTTTTTTAGGAAAGGGTGAGGGAAACATGTGCCTTTTGGAAACAAATAGACAGTTGCCTGGCACATGCTGTCTCACTGTTTCATGTGTCCATGTACCTGCAAATGAGTTATTTTAGGGTAGGTGCCAATGAAAACCAGTAATTCAGCTGCCTGTTGCAGGTACCATAGACATATCCATTCTTCACTGAGGTAATTTCCCGCCTTACTCTCATGGCTCCTTAGTTATCTTGTGAATTTGTACTATAAGAACAAGAAAATCTCATTTATCTTTATACACCCTTTTCAGCTCCATTTTTGTAGTTGGGATATAAATATTTGAAAAGAGACAAGTGTCTTAAGGTTATAAAAACAAATAATACAGCCTATTAAAGAATTTGGCCAGATCTGCATTAAGATGTGAGCCCTCTCCCTAATGATGGTGGGGGGGTATGTGTGTGCTTGGATTTTTTAAATAAAATATATAATAAAATAATAAACCATGCTACCATAATGGATTGTTTTGTGGAAAACAGGGCTCATGTGCCCCAGGACTGCAGCTGTAGTGAACCCTCCCTTGGTGGTGGTGAAGCCTTCAGCATCTCTGCTTGGAATCCTGGCTGCTGCTCTAATTATAACGTATTTTTACAACTACCGGACCCTTTTGATAAGGGCCCCAGATGTGGGGAGCTTTCTGCTCATGATCCATTCAGGTTTGCATCTTTGATGGGATTTAACATAAGTGGTGCTGTGTCCTTGGAAAGGACCTGTCTGTCCATCACTGGTGGTAGAGCACTTGTGCCTACCAGGTTTTCTCCCCTCTGAAGTATTACATCTTGCTTTTGTCATTAACTGTTGGGAAGATACTCTTCTGTAAGACTTCTAGAAGTCTTGCCTCCCAGCCAAGTCTAGGTAGTTAGAAGATTTACTAAATGGGCATGGCACAGTAGCTTCTAGCCCCTTCGTTTCAAACATGGTGCATGAAATGAGTCAATTTAAACACTCCAATTTAGGTTCCTAACCACATCTGTCCTTACCCATCACCCCATTCTCCCCCATAGTTGCATGACTGTTGTATGTGGTTGGGTGGGTGATTCTTTAGTGTAGCTGGGTCATAACTGGTGCCTCTTGCTTAAACTGGTGCCTAGTTGCATTTTGCACCAGGTCTGCTGGGTGTCAGGTGGCCAGGGTGCTGGCGTCTGAGTCCTGGCCCTCTGCTGAGCAGCCTTAGCGGACACCCGCACTGAGCCAGGCATATACCTTCTGTAAACAGCAGTAATGGTTTAGGTGCCCCTCTAATTTGTGCCCATGATCTCAAGTTTTAGGATTCCAGGTGTGTTTACCTTCTGTACTCTAGGCCTTGGATAACAAAGTCACAGGGGTCTGATAAAATTTATGAAATTGGGGTTCATGGTGAGGAATATTTCCAGGCCCTTTACTACCCATCCAGTCAGATGAATAGCCGTTAGGAGCAGTCTGATACTCAGTGTTACGAGGAACCAGGGGGCCAGCATTCTGAAACATGAGGGCAAGATCCCAACTGAGCAACATGCAGCAGAGCCTGTCGGGGGAGGATGCAGGTCAAAGGGAAGGTGGCTTCTGTGTTGGCCTCGGCTGCAGGGAAGGCAAGTGGGAAGCTACCTGGCTAAGATGCAGGTGGGCTTCAGTAGGACATTTAGAAATACCTATTCAAGTCAATGGGTGAATTTGGGCTACGAGGATAATTTGGTGAGGTCTTTGTTAGGGTGTTTTAAAGCCACTGAGTACTTTTAGGGTGAGGGTTACTTTGAGAGACTTAACAGATACAGGGAAGCTGCGTTGTGGCACATCCAACTGCAGTTCATAGGTCATTTTTCCCTAAAGGGAGATGGGATGCAGATAAAGGAAGGCCACCTGGTCTGTAAAGTTTTGGTAGAAAGTTGAGGTGAGTGACCTGGTGCTTTCATTGCCCTCAAAATGATAAAACACAAGCGGTGGGCCAGCTGCTGCCCTACGTGTCCCCTTGTTCAACCTCCATTTTTCTGGGTGTCTCAACATTCACCTTGCCCACTTTGGTGGTTTGTGAGGTTAATTTGAGAGAGTGCCTGGACCCAGCGCTGCACGGGAGTTCCATGTGGAAGCTACTGTCCACAGATGGGAAGTAAGCACCTTGCACCACCAGCCTTCACCTGTAGGCGGTAGAGGCACCCAGGGCAACTGCACCCTTCGGTTGGGGGGCAGCTGCCAGGGAGGACGGGCCTTCCCACAGAATTGCTCAAATGATGGTGTAGCAGGAAGAGAAATGCCATAGCATCAGAGATGGCACGTTACTCCTGACGGTGTCGTCCCAAACCGCAGGTCTCCAGGATTCATGTGGGGCTCAGATTCCTGTGACCCAAGACAACCTGTTGAGGCCGCTCCTTCCCTGCTGGGAAGTTGACTTCTGGGACTGGTGTCAAACAGCTGCAAGGTAATGAGGGTTCAGAACCAAGCCATGTGACATGCAAGTAAGGAAGGCAGGATGCATCAGCTGGCAGTGACTGGTTATGAACTCAAGCCTGGGGATGGAAATGTCGAGGGGGTACCCTCCCTCATCCCATCCCCTCAACACAGATAGGTTCCCTTTGCCCGTGGGCAGGGTGGAAATTCCTTAGGCAAATTTTGGTTTGTAACCCTTCAAAGGCCTTTACCGTTTCTTGATCTTCATTTTTTACTTTAAAAGCAGTGCTTTTATAAAACATGCTTCTAAGGAATTCAAACAATACACACATGTATAGACCAAAAGTAAAAGTCCCCTATTTTTCTACATCTCATAAGAGTCAATTATTAAATATGTTTCTGGTTTGTTTTCCTATCTGTGTATGTATTGTGTTTTACAGGAAACAATTCAGGATGCCAGAGTCGGGTCATTTCTGGAGCTTCCTAACTGCTGAGTATCTCTCCCTTTCTGATGGTCTCCACAGTCCAGAGGCCTGAGCATCTCTTTGGCATCTTTGTCTTTCGTTGCCCAGGCAGGACCCCTGGAGACAAGGTGTAGTGGACGCCCAAGGCATCCTGGCCCTCCTGGCTGGCCCTCCCACCCTGCACCCTTCTCCTGCAAAGCATTTGCTAGTTAGAATGATTTACATAGCCATTTTAGGATAGTTTAAACTTTAATTGGGTTTTACTTCCATGCTGTACTTCATGCTTTACAAAGCTCCTTTAAAGCTGGTTAAACTGAGACCTGTAATACTCGAAACACTCAGGAGAAGAGCCCCAGTCCCAACCCACAGGTGTTTTTATTTCTGTTGGTTACCTTCCAGCGTTCATTCATCTGGGGCACTCCCAGCTAAAGGGGGATTGTTAGCATCCGTCATGGAGGAGGTGGGGCTTGGGGGACGAGTGTAGGATTTCTGCTGAAACTTTGCTGCACAGATTACATACAAGGCTGGCCAGCTGCTTATGTTTCAGGAACTGTTGATTACTGGCCTTATTTTTTAACTGCCACATCACAAAAATGACACATCCCGTTATTTTGGTGGAGTTTGGAGATGGAATGGGGATTGTGTGTTCTTTGTCATGTTCTCTCCATGCTGCAAAACCACAGGAGGGAACTCTTCATATCCCACAGGATCGGCCTAAGAGAAGGCAGGATTCTTAACAGCAAATGAAAGCAATGCTGCTGGGGCGTTAGGCTACCACCATTACTCCTGGTTCAGGCACAGCACACCTGGTAATTCTTGGCATACTTGATGGGAGTCCCAACTCCCACTGCCCTGTCACGCCAGTAAGGGAGGGTTCTGCAAAGCAGTTGAGTGGTTTGCTGGAGTGTGGAAACTCTGAGCTAGAATCAGCCTTGGAGATTCCAGCTGGCTCCAGCTGCAGCTCCTGGGGCCTCTCTGCTGCTCAGAGCTGCTGACTGTACCAGGAGCCCAGGATTTGGTCATGTTGGAAGGCAAGCAGCTGGACATGTATTTGGGGGCAGAAAAAGGAGGAAAAATACAGGGAAAGATCCTCAGACGACAAGGGAAGAAGGAGGCAGTGAGCACATACAGGTGATGATGGATAAAGCCCCATTCCTTCCTTCCCTGAAGTTGATCTTGGCCTGCTCAGCGACTTTCCCCATGAGATAGGAAATCCCGAGTCTGGAAGGTTGCAAGGGAAACACTGGAAAGGCCTGCTGAGAATCCCTTTAGGGCTTGCACGAAGTGTTTTTTTCTAAAATCTGGTTGACTGCAGTGCCTTTTGACCCCGTTGTACTGTCTGCTAAAGCACTAAGAGGGGCAGGGGACATGAAACTGCCCAGGTATGACCTGCTTTAGAGTTGGTGGCCAGAGATGAAGCCCGTGTGAGGTGCCACTGCAAATGTCCTTGTCCAGCAAGCTGAGGGGGAGGTAGGGGTAGGAGGGCTGGTCTGGTCATGGCACTCTGGCCTCACCAGTACTGGCGGGTATCCGATTCAGCTTAACTGTAGCCTAGATAAGCTCTCCCTCCCTAATGTCATCTCACATTTTAAAACCTAAGTCTGATCAGGACCCTCCTCTACAGAGCACCTTCCCATTACTCATGTGATGCAGCATCAAAGCGCAAAGCCGTTCTGCGAACAACTACCCTGCCCTGTCAGATTTGCTGCCCCCTGTTGGGGTTGTGTCTCCCAAAGGTGTCTGCAACAGTGTTTTCAGCCCCATGTGTTCCGTCTGCTTCCCCGTCATGGGGATCTAATTCCCCTCTCTTTAATCTGGGCTAGCGTGACACATTTGTGATCATACAACGGGACAGAAGTGCTGCTATGCTGGGAGAAGCTAAGTCACATGCAGTAGAGGCCACATTCCCAGATAAACCCATCCTTCCAGTCATCCCAGCCCTGGAACCAGGCTAGTGAGGGAAGGAGTGTGTTGGGTCACTGGTGTCCAGTATAAATTTCTGTGTGATGAAAATGCTCTCTATCTGTATTGCCCCCATACAGTGGCGATAAGCCGCATGTTGGCTAGGGTTTAGATAAAACTGAACATCCTGTTAAATTTGAATTTGAGATAAACAATAAATACTTCTTTGGTGTAAGTATACCTCATGATATTTGGAGGATACGTATACTAAAGCAATTATTTGTTGTTTATCTGAAATCCAAATGTACCGGGCCCCCTGCAATTTTATTTGCTAAGTCTGGCACTTGGAATGCAGCTAGTGCAACTGAGGAAGCAACTTTTAAATTGTTCACTTTTAATTAATTTAAATTTAAATACCCACATGTGCTGGTGGCTACTCTTTGGACAGTGCACTCAGAGTAATTCCAGATGCAGTGAAGTGATTCTTGTCACTCCAAAAGTCATGTCTGCCCAGATGAAGCCCCAGACATCATATAATAGAAACAAGCTATTCCCACTGACACTGAACTCCATCCTAACTTTTGACCCACAGAATTCCTACCATAAAAGGATGGCAGTTGTTTCATGCCCTGAATTTGTGGCAGTTCCTTCCTCAGCAGTGGTGGCTGGAATGCCCCTGACCTCCCTGAGGAGAGACCTTCTCTCCTTGGACCCCTCCTTCATTCACACTAGCAAACCACAAGCACACATCTGCCTCAGGCCCTTTGCTCTGCCACTCCCTGTACTGGAATTCTCTCCCTGTATTCCCTTGGCTCGTTCTGTCTAGTGCTTCTAATCTCTGCTCAGATCTCACCTTTCTGGGAGGCCCTCCACACCACAGTGTTTAATTCCTGATGCACTTTACTCTGTTAAAAAATTTTTTCCCACAAACTTCATTGTCTTTACTCTCTCTGCAGAGCTTGTTTTCCATCTCTTGTGAACTCTAAGAGCAAGGAGAGTAGGCACGGCTTGTCAGCTTTAGGATCTGACGTGCCTGGGTGCTGGAACAATGCCCATCCCACAGGGGTGCCCAGCAGGTGTTTGTGGAACCAGTGAAGGAACACTGAGTGTTGAGGTCTTTCCAAATGCCCCTCAAGTGCTGGGCACTTTGCTTGACTCCCTGTAGGCTGAAGGTTTTATTCATTCAGCAAATACTCTGTGCCAGGTACTGTCACAGGCCCTGGGGATACAGAGTGGCCATGACAGGTGAGGGCCCTGTCCTTAAGTAGCCTCTATTCTAGGAGGGGGAGGGCCTGGGAGGGCGACCCCCAAATAGGCCATGTAACTTGGTGTTGGTGAACCAAGGGGTTGTGGCCACTTCCACAGGTCTAGTCTCAACCTGGCTATCCCTGTGACAGAGTTCTTAAACGCTCATGCCTGGGCCCACCCCCAAAGGTTCTGATTTCCATGTTCCAAGTACAGCCCAAATCATGGTAGTTTACAAGACTCACTTGGTAGTTACGATATGCAGGTGGGATTAGAACCACTTTGTCCAGGTGAATCCTAGTGATTGCCTGTGGAGCCAGGGGTGCTCATCACCCCCATTTTATAGTGAGGAAAATGAGGCTCAGAGACTCAGCCAAGCTGCCCACAGTCAAAGGGTGAGACGTGGTGCAGCCAGGAGTCCCTCGGGTCTCCCCCTGCACAGAGAAAAGGATGTCTGACCGGAAGGCAGAGGCCTGCAGCTGGGGCCCTGGGCTTTGGAGGGGCCTTCGGCCGGCAGGTGACAGATACCCACACAACCCCCAGGGCCTGCCTCCCTCCAGGGGCCTCTCCCCATAGCTGATCAGCTAAAAAGAGGCTCCAGGCCTCACCCCTCCTCCTCCTCTCTGATTTTATTGCCTCCTCAGCAGTTTCCCGAGACAAATTGCGGGTGGGGAGGGTCCATTTTCAGTGGGAGGCCCCTCCCAGGCTGGATGAGAGGCACTGCTTTCCTGAACCTTCCTGGGCCCCTGGGGTGGTGGGCAGGGGGCGGCTCCCAGGCAGAGCCCCACAGGGTGGGAGAGGCAGCAAATGTTTTAGAGTAGGACGTAGGGACCTTCTGCCCACCAAGTTCGCCCCTAAGTGCCTTTTCAGACACTTTTAGAAATACCACAATAGCAGAGAGAGCAGGGGCAGGCCCCTGGAGGAGGCGCGGGTAGCGTCCCGGGTGCCCACAGCTGGCTCTCGGCTGTAGCCTCTCCTGCCTTGTGTCAGGGTTACCTGCTCTTGCCCATTGTCCTCTGGTCTTGTTCTCCCCCAGTGTGAGAGTCCCCTGAGGAGGGGGGAAGCTGTCAGAGGCTTCTCTGCAATGAGGGATCTTTTAGTCCATATTAGGGACAGGGCAGACCCCAGGCCATCTGCAATGAGGAGAAAAGGTGGGGTCTCCTGAAGGTGGGGCGGGGAACAGTAGCAGGAGGTTCTGTCCAGTGGTCTGAGGGAGCTCTGAGTGAGATGTGCCTCAAAATACCCCAATCTTACTGTGTAAGTCACTCATCCTTGGGTTTCTCATGTGAATAATTAGGGGTGGGAGTGTCCTCACAGCAGATGGAGGGAAAGGGGCATCAAGTAGATAAGCATCCAAGTCCTTTTTATGCTCTAAAGGATGTGAGGTGCCACATTTGACCACAGTGGTCAAATGCAAGGAACAGTGATTCAGAGGAGTGAGGGTCCAGAGCAAGGCACCAGACGGGGGATGCCCAGAGCTGGTCTGCAAGAAGTGGTCAGTGACCAGCGGAGAGGAGTCGAGAGGTAGGAGATGAACTCATCATTCACCCTACAAACCACGGGCCCCACCACATGCTAGGCATCAGGGATAGCAGGAGACAAAACAGACAGGGTCCCTCCGTCATGGAGCTTATATTCTACAGCAAGAGTAGGGACAAGAGAAACAATAAACAATCACATAAATGAGGTGAGGTGAGGGAGAGTGAGGGGGTTGCTGGTATCTTTTTTGTCCCACATGGGAATAACATAGAAGGAAAGAGTGGTTCGTAGGAGGTCCAATCTCTGGAAGGGTCAGAGAATTTGGAGATTGACATTTTTTATTATAAAGAACCAGGACAAGCTTATGGATTAAAGACTGACTGCCAGATTTAGGTGGATCTTAAATGCCAGAGTGAGGATTTGGATGGCAGGTAATGGGGAGCCACTGAGGGTACGAGCAGGGCTGTGGTCTGTGTGTGGTGACCCGCAGGGTCTATGGCTGGGCAGGCCGCCGCACCGGTGGGGGCTGGAATTCTGGGCAAAGAGTTAGCATGCTGGGCTTGGGGTGTGCTGATGTGAGGGGTGTTGAGTTTGGAGTGGTGGGTGGGGGCATGAAAGCAAGTAGCAAACCCTTTAAAGGCAATCAGGCAAAGAAAAGGAGAGGTTGTGGGTGGCACCAGAAGGCAGAACCAGGTGTGGCGGGTAGGAGAGACGGGGAGAGAGCAGTGGACTCCACTCTGAAGAGCTCCAGTCATCAGAGCAGCATTCATGATGGCTGAACCCCCCTGTGAGGTCAGGAGAGGGAGATGGACATGTGCTGGCTTTCGCTTACCAGCTGACCTCCTTCCTTTTTGCAGAATCCCCTGATTTTCCCTTGGGGTGCCTCTCCTCCATTTCCATACTCTGCCCTTCTGGCATTGCAGTCCCCAACCTGTGCTTGCAGTCGTGGCGGGTGCACTGAGGTCTAGCCCGGGAGAGCCTTCTCCCCCTCCAGCCGCAATGATCGGCCTGCAAAGACTTGGTCACAGACAGACACCTGACCTTGTCAGGCCAGTGAGAGGCAGCCCTAGGGCTCTGGCTGCACTGTTGATTTGGGGACATGCTCACTGTCAGAGCAGCCAGGTGGGAATGGGCTTGTGTGTGCTGCAGGGAGACCCCTGTCCACATGCCAGGCACCATGCTGTGTGGGGCATCCAAGCGTCGGTGGTTCATCACATTCCAGTGTGGACAGTGCCAGGAGAGAGGGAAGCCCAGGGGCTGGACTAGAGGTGGGGGCTCAGGGATGCCTTCCCATAGGAAGGGATTGAGTCACCCGAAGCCCGGGGGTTATCTGGACAATGTAGATTGGAGGGAGACATAAGTGTTCCCAGCCCACGAAGGAGGCAGGTCTGACTGCTCCACTCTGTGAGGCCATGGAGAGGTGAAGGCCAGGACGTCCAGCTCTCTTCCCTGGCTGCTCTCACTCCCTGGGTGAGACCCCCTCTCTGGGTCCCAGCTTGCTCTTTTGTTAAATGCCTCTATTGGGCCTCATCTCATGGGGCATCTGAATCACAAAGGAAGGTACTAAAATATACATTCCTGGGCTTCATCCCTGAGAGTCTCAAGGGGCTGGAGGGGTTCAGGAATGTGCATTTTTAGCTAGCACACTAGAGACCACATTTTGAAAAGCTCTGTCTGATAATGACAGCAGGCCCTTTGGACCTGGGGGCCCAAAAAGCACCCTGCTGAAGCAGGGCCAGTGTTTACCCAGAACATTATGGCCCTGGCGCTCTTCATGGATTACAGGCGGTCTCTTTGGGCCACACCTTTGCCAAACATGGAAGGCTGAGCCGCTGGCATGGCTCACCATCCAGATGGCCTGACTCAAAGTGCCCCAGGATCTTGGAGCATCAGCCAAAAGGCATTGAGGACCCCTGTAAGAGAGGCCATCCAAAGCCCCTGGGGAGGGGAGTGCGGCGGCCTGGGGATTCTCTGGAGCTCTCTCAGGGTCCCTCTCTAAGCCACGCTTGCTCTGTAGCCTCACCACCTGGCCTTGTATGCTTCTTGCCTTTGTCAATATTTATTTCTTCCCTAGCCTCAAACAGCCTGGTGTTTGTTTAAAGGGTAGAATAGATGTGGCAGAGCTCGCCTCCACTCCCTGGCATTTCTGTGGGGGCTGCCTTGTTCTCCACGTATTTACCTGCTCCAGTGCAGGGCCCCAGGCCTGATGAGAGCTTTTTCATGTCACTCTTGGCTCTGTTTTCCCTCAGAGACATCTTGAACCTGTCCTCTGGCTCCACTCACATCGTTATCAGACCTATAGGCCTAGAACTGAGGTACTGGAACATTCTAAAGGTTCCTAAAATACCCCTCGATGGAGCACTGGCTCCTGATCCAAATTCAAGCAAGCCAGAAAGAGGTTGTGGCAAAAGTTTGTATAGCTGAAACAGATGTACATCGTTTTCTATGAAATCAGGTGCCAGTGTTGGCTGTGCCACTGCTCAGGCCAGGGGCCTGAGCACGGAGCCCCTGCTGCTCTTGATAAAGGTGGGAAGCCACTGGGCAGGCACCGAGCATTGTTTCTGCCTAATTTGTTGAGATGAGATCTTGTGATTTTCACCTGCTGTGAACCTTCAGGCATGTTTGAAGGATAGGAAATGCCTGGACTCTGACTTCTCCACTCCCACATTTCAAAATATTTTGAGATCCGTTGCCTCAGTTTTGAGCATTGCTCTAATCAGTGCAAATGTGGTGACCATTCCTATTCCAATAAAGACACTGCTGACAAATTGGACACTTCCTGCTATGTTTTTTAACTTTTTCTTTGAACTTTATTCTGTATTTCTATATTCTGTATTCAGAAATGTAATAGTAAAAAGAGGTAGTGAATGTAGTAGAAAAGTTTCATGAATAGCACAATTTCCCCATACCGCTCTTTCTACCTGCTCATACCCTTCAAAACCAGAGCCCACTGATCAAAACCAGCACATTAACCTTGGTACTAATAATACCCTTTCTTTTTCCCCTTTAAAAAATTGTTCAATTTATTTTTATTTTTCCAATTGATATATAGCTGATACACAATATTATATTGGTTTTGGGTGTACAACATAGTAATTCAACAATTATGTACGTTAGTAAACACTCACCATGATAAGTGTGGCTCCCATCTGTCCCCATACAGAGGTATTGCAATATTGTTGACTATATTCCCTATGCTGTACTTCCATCCCTGTGACTAATTGGTACTGACACCCTTTATCAAACTAAAGACCCTGTGAGAATCTTATGTGCTTTTCTACTAAAATCCTTTTGCTCCAGGAATGCATTCAGGATCCTGCATTTGCATTTAGCTGCGTTTTCTCCCTAGGGTCCTGCTGTGTGCAACTGATCCTCCTTCATTCCTTGTCTTTCAGGACCTAGATGCCCTCAAAGAGTACCGATCAGTTACTCTGCTGAATGCTCCTCTACTCAGGGCTGTCTGGGTCTCCTTGTGATCGGGAGGAGGTCGTGACTGGCAAGGGCACCCCACTCATGGAGCTCGAAGCACCGCGTCATGGGGTCATAGTGCTGATGTGCCTTATTTCTGTCAGGATGGCCTGGATCTCTGGTCAAGTGGTCTCTCTCTGAAAGGCTTGATCTGAAATTAAATTTGTGAAGCTATTTCTATCTCCCAGCTCCTGCGTAGTCAGAAGCATCCTGGGAGAGATACCTTGAGACTATGCAAATCCCTTTGTCCTCAAACCTTCTACAGATTCTAGCATTTATCAGCAGATCTTGTCTGCAACAGCCACCTTAGGATGTCTGCCTAATGCTTATTATCACTTCCTTCCACATGTATGGATTACATTCCATTGTGGGAAAGAGCTGTCACTGCTGCTCCATCAGTTTATTTAATCTAGTAGTCTATATCAGTATGGACTTATGAATATTTTATTCTGTGGGTTATTGGACACTATTATTATTTTATTGTTCAAATCATTCCAGCTCTAGGCCCTTGGGAGCTCCTTTAGGGCTCCTGTATTCTCTCAACAAGCCTGTCTTTTTCTGGTTTTACAAGAAGTTCAAGGATTTGCTGCCAGCCTTTTTCAGCTAGTTGTTGGATACCCTCTATGAGTTCTGCAAACATTGTGACATACTGAGGCCACAGACCACATCTTGTTTGGTATCAGTTATGGGTCATATTATGCACAAATCATATCCCTTGGTTGACTGCTGTGTTGGCAGAGCTGGTTCTTTGGAAGAAATTCCCACCATTTGGGGACTGATAGTTGTAACTGTTGTGTTGGGAGCCAGTAAAATCAGGCAGGACCCAGGTAAGCTCCAACTCTACTGTCTTCTGTAGTTTATATTCTTTCTAACTTAAGTCTTCACACTGAACACTTAAGGGTGCAAAAGTCCCAGAGTCCCCAGCTCACAGTGACCCAGGCTCCCTTTGCAGGGCACACAGAATCATGCCAAGATTTCATGATGATGACCTTGACCTTTGTCCAAGAGCTTTGCTAGATCTTACCAACAACTGAGAAAGTAAGTTTCTAGTTTAGGTGTCCCTGAAGCTGACCTTGTTAGAAGGATTCAAGTGCAAGTACTTTCTGTGGCAGGAGATCTCAGTGGGGTGCGGATAATCAACACAGGGAATGAAGAGGGGCATTACTTTTATTATTAAGCACATCATCCCTTTGTGCAGCTGGAGCCCAGCTCCACTGGAGAGCCCTGAGGGAGACAGTGTAGAAGCAGAGCTGTGGGTTCTCCTGCCCCATCAGGAGCTGGGGCACTTATACATGGAGTCCTGTAGTTTTTCATTGAGCATTGCACCTGGGCATCTTAATTCTCCAGCACTTCTAAGCACTCAGGCAGAGCAGGTGCTTGGCTCCCCAGGAAGTACTCAGGTGAAGCTGGGCTTGGAAACAGTAAGATTCCCCAGGATAGAGGTGGGCATGGCACCCACTGTGGGCATGTCTGCATTTTATGGATGAAGACACAGAACACTTACAGGTGCAGAGAAGCAAGGTGCCTTCCCTGGGGTCTCAAAATGGAGAGCTGGTACCTGAAGCTGGGAATATGGGTAAGGACTGTGTTAGATGGTTTTAAGTCTCCACCCAAGTCTGAAACTTCCTCCCTCTGCCTTTGCTTCTCGAGGCGAGTTCTCCACTGCTTGCTCGCTTGCCAAGAGGTGCACTCGCCTGACAATGGCCTCCCAGGCTTGGCAGGTGCATATTTGCACAAAGACACGCCCAGCAAAATGAGTGTTGGTTTGGCCCAGTGTCTTGGTAGTTGCATGTTCACTGTTTGAGTTGGAGGGGGACAAACCCCTGTATTTTTTCAGGAGGCTTCAGTCTTGTCAAACCACCAATCAGCAGTGATGGAAGATTAGGTGAATACACAGAAGCAGCTCTTGGCTTCTTGTTTGCTTAGACTGTGGGCCAACAGAGGATCTGTTCCACTCTGGCCCCAGGTTCCTTGGACACGTCCACGAGACAGAATTTCTGGGCACTGAGATGCACTGTGCTGTGCTCCCATTTCTCACTGCTCCCCTCCTGGCCTTCCAGATCTAGTTCTTGGTTCCTATTTTGACTACCCCTCTGCCCCTGCCCCAGTAGATTCCCAGCCTGTCCTCCCCAGGTACTATAGCACCAGAGCCCCCTTTGTGCATCTGGTAAAGGAGGTCTGAGCCAGCAGGCCAACAAATATACGTGCACAGCCCCCACCTCCATTTCCCACAGGAGGAATCAGTCGTTAAAGAAGAAATACCTTTGCCTGGTCCACCTCCCAGGACTGCCTGGACCTTCAGAGGAGATGAGGTTACCACAGGATTATCACAACCAGCACCTGGCTGACTTCTGGGCTTGAGGCTTCAAAAGATATATAAACAGACAATAAGCATCTAAAAAGAAGCTCCATCTCATTGGTATTCAGGAACAGGGGAACTGAAGCAAGATAGCAGCGATGGGGGGGCTGAAGGGGACCTAAGCCCTTTATGAGGGCAAGTTGACTCTGTTGACTACAATAAAAGCGTCCATTTTCTATAACCCAGAGAATCACTTCTTCAAATCCACAGCAAAGAGACCCTGGCACACCAGGATAGACACAGGTATGCTCAAGGCTGTTCGCTAAAGTAGCACTTCTCAGCAATCTGTCGGCAAGATCCAACCTTTATTTCCCATCTGTTGCAAACTTGTACTAGAGAAATGAAATCTTAAAAATCAAAGACTTACAAAGTATAAGCCTCCGATTTTTATTGTGGGATTCAACATAACATTACTCTGTACACATGCTATAACAGTTTCTCAAGCTTACTCCCTATTTCTTTTCTTATCTCATCGTAGTTTGCAAATAAATAGCTTGTGGGCCAACCTCAGGCCCTGGACCACAGACTGAAGAGTACTGCTCTGCTGTGTGGCTTGCAAAACAAACAAAACTGGAAAGAAGCTCCGTAGAAAAATGACTGTATAAACGTGTAATGTCCACAACCATAAAATCCATGTAATAGTGAAAAATAAAGATGGGAGGTTTGTAAGATCTGATGTGGAAAGGTGGCTGAGTGAAGCACATTACTGAGTGGAAAACAAGTTACAGAGCGATGCACAGTTTCCTTAGGTGTTAAATGTAAAAAAAAAAAAGAAAAGAAAAGAAACCAAACTGTATTTGCTATGGGTACATGAATATGTATGAAAATATATAAAAGAGGGACTAGAAATGCATGTGCAACTTTGAGATTAGGAATGGTGGGTAATGGGAGAACTTTTGTGCTGGTTTAAATTTTTTTGGTAATGGTTTAATTTTTACAAAAAGAATGCTTTCAACTATTACTCATATAATTAAAAAAAAAATCTAACTTCCAGGCAAGGTTGATCTAAGGCAAGCAGAAGCCTCTCCTCACCCCTCAAGTTACTCTGGAAATTGAATATTCCAGACACCTCCCTATCTCTCAACAGAGGGACACACCAGCCCCTTTGCAGTGCAGGTGGAATATGGATTAAGTGAACGGAAGGATCAAGGGCAAATTCATGAGAAAGAGAAGGCATCCTGGCCTGGTTGTGGTGTGAGGGGCTGGTAGGGGGACTGGATGGTTGGCTACACTCGAGCCCTTCATGAGGTGGCCTGAGGCAGAAGAAAGAATAAAATTCTGCCATCTGACTTCTGTGTTGCCGGTAGATTGAGCACAGGTGTTTAGTCTCGGCTGCCTCTTGAATCTTGGCTCAAATGACAGTAAAGGGAGACAAAACCCAACAGAGATGGACAGGATGGAGCTGGAAGGTGGATGGAGGAGTCGTTAATTGACTAGGCAGACAGAAGACAAGGGAATCCTCAGGCAGCAGTGGGAAGAGGAAAGTTACATGACTTGCCCACAGAACCCCATAGAGACCCTGAGGTTTTTTCCTCTCTGGGTTCTTTGAGCCTTGAGTTCTGATGTTTTATGGATTTACCTTTATATGAATGTTTAAATACGGAAAATACCCTTCCATCTGGTAGTTTTATGGCATAATTTCCTTGATAATCTCTTCCCCCACTATTTCCTCTGTTCATTTTCTGGAACTTTTCTTAGCTGGATGTCAGACCACCTGGACTAATACTGGATATTTCTTACGTTTGCTTTCCTAGTTAACAGGTCATTTTTTGTGCTGTTCTACTTTGAGAAAATGTCATTGACTCCATTTTCTAATTGGATTTTTTTTTCAAGTAAACTTGTTTGTTTCTGAGGTAACTGTAGACTTACATGTAGTTGTAAGAAATAATACAGAGAAATCCTGTGTACCTTTTCCTCTCCTCCCAGTGACAAAATCTTGCAAAACTATAGCACACCAACACAGCCAGGACACTGACATTGATATGATTAAGAAACAGAACTCTGTCACCACGAGGCTCTCTCATGCTTCCCTATGGTAGCCACATCCACACCCACTTGCCTCCTGCAGCCATTCCCTCCTTGACCCATTTCTATAATTTTATCATTTCAACAATGGAATCATAACTGACTCACAACAGCATGCAACCTTTTTCGATCAGCTGTTTTTCCCACTCAGCAAAATTTTCTGGAGATTGATCCAGGTTATTGCTTATATCAATAGTTCATTCCTATTTATTGCACAGTAGTATTCCATGGTATGGATGTACTACCATTTTTTAAAAGTCTTTACCCCTTAAAAGACTTTAGTTTCTTTCCAATTCTTGGTTATTATAAATAAGGCTTCTCTAAACATTCATGTACAGGTTTATCTAGGAACATAAGTTTTTGTGTCTCTGAGGTAATTTAGCAATATATAATGTGAATCATACATAATGACCAATTAAGCTTTATCTCAAACAAAATATTTGAATTCAAGGCTGGTTCCATATTTTAAAAATATATCAATGCAATCCACTATAGTAACAGTCTTAAGAAGAAAGTCATATGACCATGTTAATCAGTGCAGAACAGCATTTGACAAAATCAAATTCCATTTATGATATTTTAAAAAACTCTCAGAAAAATAGAAATAGAAGGGAACTTTTGCAATTTGAGAAAGAGTATCTACCCAAAAAGTCACCACTAATGTTATACTTATTGGCAAAAGACTAAATGTTTTTCCCTGTAAGATCAGGAAAAAAGCAAGTCAAGGCGCTCTCATGGTTCTTATTCTATGCTGGAAATTCTATCCAATGCAATAAGGAAAATAAAGGGGGGAAGGGGAGACAAAAAGCACACAACTGGAAAGGAAGAAATAAAACTGCTCTGATTTTCAGATGATATGATTGTCTATGTAGAAAATCCCCAAGAAATCAGAAAAAACATCCTAGAACTAATGAGTTCAACGAGGTCTCAGGATGCAAATTAATGTATAAAAATCAATTGTATTTCTGTTTACCAGTATTCAGCAGTGGACACCAAAGTCTAAAATACAGTACTATTTATAATTACACAAAAAGGTGAAATACTTGGGTGTACTTCTAACAAAATTGTACAAATCTGTATGCTGAAACTATAAAATACTGATGAAAGAAATCAAAGCAGATCTAAATAAATGGAGAAACATAGTATGTTTATAGATTAGAAAACCCAACATAATAGAAATGTCAATTCTCAACAAATTAAATATAGGTTTAAAGCAACTCATATCAAGATCTTAATTAGACTTTTTTAGATATGGAGAAGGCTATTGTAAAATTTATATTGAAAGACAAAGGAGCCAAAAAAGCTATAACAATTTTGAGAAAGAAAAATAGAGGGAAGAATCAGATTTCAAGACTTTTTACAAAGACTGCAGCAATCAAAGCTGTATGATCTCTATGGAGAGATAGACATACTGATCAATGGAACAGAATAGAGAACTCAAAAACTGGTACACACGGACTTGCAAAAATACTCTGGTTTTTGAAAAATGTGCCAGAGCAACTCACAGACAATCATGTCATCCATGAAGAGTTATAATTTTATTTCTTCCTCTCCAGTATGTATATGTACCTTTCAATTCCTTTTCTTGTCTTATTACATTATCTAGAAGCTCCAGTATGATTTTGAAAAGCAGTGGTGACAAGGACATTCTTGCCTTATATCTGATTTTAGTGAGAAAGCTTTGAGTTTTTCACCATTAAGTATGATATAAGCTGTAGGCTTTTTGTAGACAATCTTTATCAAGTTAAGGAAGTTCTCCTCTATTCCTAGTTTACTGAGAATTTTTATCATGAATGGTCTTAGATTTTGTCAAATGCTTTTTCTGTATCAATTAATATGATCATGTGATTTTTCCTTTTTAGTCTGTGATGTATGGGTTACACTGAACTGATTTTTGAATGTGGACCAGCCTTGCATACCTGGGATAAATCCCATTGATCATGATGTGTACTTCTTTTTATACATTGTTGGATTCAATTTGCTCATATTTTGTTGAGGATGTTTGCATCTATGTTCATGAAATATATTGGTCTCTATTTTTTCTTGTAATATCTTTGTCTGGTACAGGGTAATGCTGGCTTCATAGAATAAGTTAGGAAGTATTCACTCTACTTCTATATTCTGAAAGAGATTGTAGAAAATTGGTATAATCTCTCCCTATATGTTTGGTAGAATTCACCAGTGAAACCATCTGCGTCTGGTACTTTCTTTTTTGGAAGGATGTTAATTATTGATTTGATTTCTTTAATAGGTATAAGCCTATCCAGGTTGTCTGTTTCTTCTTGTGTGCTTTGGCATGCTATGTCTTAAGGAATTGGTCCATTTCATCAGGGTTATCAAATTTGTGGGCATAGAGTTATGCATGGTATTCCTTTAACATCCTTTCAATTTGTGCAGGATCTATAATGAATTCCCCTCTTTCATTTTTGGTATTAGTCATTTTTGTCTTCTCTTTTTTTCTTAGTCTGGCTAGTTTATTGATTTTATTGATCTTTTCAAAGAATCAGCTTTTGGCTCTACTGATTTTCTCTCTTGATTTCCTGTTTTTAATTTCACTGATTACTGCTCTTTTATTTTCTTCTATTTACTTTGGACTTAATTTGCTTTTCTTTTTATAGTTTTCTAAGGTGGAAAAATACATAATTGATTTTAGGTCATTCTTCTTTTCTAGTATATGTATTCACTTCCATAAAGTTCCCTGTAAGTTCTATTTTTGTTGCATCCTACAAATTTTAGTAAGTGTGTTTTCATCTTAATTTAGTTCAAAGTATTTTAAAGTTTCTTTTGAGGTTTCTTCTTTAGCCCATTGTTATTCAGGAATGTATTGCTTAATTTCCACATATTTTTGGATTTTCCAATTATCTTTATGTTATTGATGTCTAGTTTAATTTTACTGTGGTCTGAAAGTAGACATTGTATGCTTTCTGTTCTTTTAATTTTATTAAGGTATGTTTTATGGTTCCAAATGTGGTCCAACTTGGTGATATTCATTTGACCTTGACAACAATGTGCAGTCTATTCTTATTGGCTAAAGTAGTCTGTAAATGTCAATTATATCCAGTTGATTGTTGATTTCTCCTTTGTGGTTTGGATTGATATGTCCTGTTGGATCTATAGAAGGGTGTTGAAGTTTTCAACTATGATAGTGGATTCATCTGTTTCTTTTTGTAATTCTATTAATATTTGCCTTACATAGTTTGACACATATGTTGTTAGGCATAGCATATTAAAGATTGTTATCTGCCCTTGAAGAGTTGACCCTTTTATCATTATGTAATACCCCTGTTTATCCCTGATAACTTTCTTTGCTCTGAAGTCTGTTCTGTCCTGCTTTCTTTTGACTAGTGTTAGCATGGTATATCCTTTTCCATCCCTTTACTTTTAATCTATGTGTGTGTTTATATAAAGTAAATTTATTGTAGGCAATATATAGTTCGGTCTTGTTTTTTCATCCACTCTGACAATATCTGCCTTTTAACTGATGCATTTAGACTTTGATGTTCAGTGATTATTGATATAGTTGGATTAATATCTACTATATTGGAAACTTTTCTATTTGTTGCCCTTGTTCTTTGTTCTTATTTTTGTCTTCCACTCTTTTTCTCCCCGTTGTGGTTTTAATTGTTTACATGATTCCATTTTCTCTCCTTTCTTAGCCTGCCAATCCTTCCTTTTTGAAAATTTTCCAGTGATTGGTCTCTAGTTTGCAAAATACATTTCCAACTAATATAAGTCCATTTTCAAATAGCACTATACTGCTTCATGAGTAATACAAGTATGTTGTAATGACAAAGTGCCCCTAATTCTTCCCTTTCTCCATTGTATCATTTCTAACATTTTCATTTATACATAAGCTATAATCATTGAAAATAC